TCCAACATAAATGTTATGTTATTACACTGTCAGAGCTTGATGTAGACATGCTGATCTTCGCTGACTTTTATCTTGCAAGAAAAAGTTCTCAAATCATTAGGTTTGAGAACTATTACCTCTAGGTGGGTTCTTTGCATATTTAAAATTATAATATGAAGTTTAAATATGTGAGTTGTTTTTGAAAGATAGCCAATTAAGAAACTATTATAATGTTCTATTTGTTAGAAGATTTTCCAGAAAATTAATGTTGCTTTCTGACAGGTCTTATTAGTAAGTGGCTCATAATTAAATGCTGTTGGTATCATTTTTGGTAACTTAGTAAAAATACGGTGCCTTGTTCCATAGTGCAAGAGAATGCAAGTTTTGGAGAAAAAGTAGCTAGAGAAAAAATGATGAATATAAATGTTTCTATATGGAACCAAGATGCTTTTGTGATACCTGATTTTTACAGCTGTATTTGAAAAACATATATTAAATACAGGAGGTGCAGTTCTGGGTCCTTTTTCAGCTATAAGGGAAATACAGTGTCTTGGTGTGCTGTCTCAGAAGCAGCACAGGCTAGTGACTGATTCATCAGAAAGTCTTCTAGCTGAATATTTCTCCCTTGAAAGCACCTACCAACTTAAAAAAGGACCTGCTAGTTCTGGAAAAAACTTTGCTGACCCATCCTGGAAAAGGCAAGGAAGATGATGCTGTAATGAGTGTCTGTTTTTCTTTCCACAGCATGAGGCCATCTGGGTCGTACGCTGCTCCCATAATCTGCACTGTGAGGATGACCAAGCGAATGCTCTGTTGGTGGGCTTATCTTCTACTTCCACTGGAAGTACTTCTACTTCCCTGGGACAACATGATCTAAGTAGTCTAACATTTGAGCACCAGGACACAGTGCATGTGTGCTATTTATGTGTATAATCTTTTTAAGGTTGGACAAAACACATGGCCTTGTGCCTGTAAAGGCACGTTCTCCATGTAATGTGCTTCATGCACATTAGAATAGCAATAATATTACTAGTGTTATTGTAATGTTAACAGAGTTACTCCTGTAGATATAGTATGCTAGGAGAATTACTTGGCTAGAAACAGTATATTGTCTTTATATTCTTGAGCAAGAATATTTCTGGCATTGGGAAACAGCTCGTTGCCATATTCAGCAGCTATCCCATCCTCTGGCAGCATTCTCGTGCATGAGAAACACACCATCATCTCCAGTTTTTCACAGTGGACATAACTTAAGAGTTCAGGAACTTCTTCTGCAGCCCATTGCTTGCTTGATCTCATAGATCTTTGCTCTCTTTTTTTTCTTTTTTTCTTTTTTTTTTTGGCTGTCTTGCTTTTTGCCACCCTTTCCCTCTCTGAGATTCTTCTTGTAGACAGCTTTCTCCTCTCTTCCTCTTCTCCTATTTCATTATTTCATAACAGGCTTATGAACAGAGGAGATGAAGGCAGCCTTTCCACCTCATCTTGTTCTGCTAATAAGCTGCTGTGACAAGCCCACAGCCGTGGTATTTGAGTACTTGCCTACTGCGAGTTAAACAGAATGATAGCATTTGTCATGTAGGATCCTTCCCTTTTCTCTCTCCATCCCCTGGGGAAAATTGGATGCTGATTATATTGCTGTACCTAATGAGTTTATTAGTGAAGCAAAATTTGAGGAGTAGGAAGATTCAAACAGGGAAGAAATTGGAGGAGCAAATTTGTCAAGACTCTCAGGCACTGTAAAACTGTCTGAGACAAAGCACAGCTCATCTCAGCAGGAGATGGATCCCTCCCCAGGGAGGTGGAGTACTTCATTTCTGGATCTAAGGACCATCACAAACATCATCGTTGGACGGGCAAGGGACAATACATTTCCTACTGTTTCTGTGTTCAGGCATGCTCTGTGTTCAGCCGAGTGCTGCCTTCTTCCTTCATCAAAACTCACATCTTCCAAGAACTCTTTGTGCTTTATGCTCACTCCTGTTACTCTACTTTTTTGGGGCCTTTCCTGTCTTACACAGAGGTTGAATTTCTTGTGGCAGGACAAAGACCTTTTACTGTTCATGAACTACATCAGAAACATTTTTTTGCACTCTATGTTTAACTAAAAGTGACCCAGCAATCAGGAGAGCATAAGAATTTCAAGCAAGATTTTATTTCCCAGTGCTTGGAACAGTAAGGAGAAGACACACTCAGTGTGTTCTTCTCTGAGAAGCAGTCTCAGTCCAGGACAAGTGAAAAAGCAAGGTTGTGATTGGATCCATCACTTGTATCCAATGTTGCCTTCAGTCATTCTGGATGCCACTTTTAGTCCTACTGCTCAAGCTGCAGAGAGTCATTTTTACTGACATCCCTTATCCTCCTCTGAAGTTTGTGAAGTATGTGCAGGTACTTGCAGGAGTCAGCATATATTGATTGTGGCTGTATGGGGAGGATGTTTGTATAGAGAGGATTTTTCAGAGCTGTTTGTCCAGCATGGCCATATCCAGCTGCTCCCTCCCCGGGCTTGTTTGGCTTGTGAATAAAGAAGCGCTACTTCTCTTCCTCATTCTGCTCCGGACCTCAGAGAGGTCCAGACAAATTTGACTCGCTGTTTAGATCCACTTTAGAAACCATTGTTTTGAGTTGCCGTCTCTTGGAGACACGGGCTCTTAATTATGGAGGTGTTCTGGTTCCCTGCCTGCTCAGAGCTGTTTGGTACAAGTGTAACTAACAGGCTCTATCTGGGTACAACAGGAGGATAACAGATTTCTTCATGTTTTAAAACCAGTTTCAATGAAGATTTTAGCAATGAGTTTGGCAAGTTTTCCCTACTATTTCAAACAAAAACCGAACGGTGCCTGTTCCTATGCTCTGAGTGCACTGCTAGTCCTTTAAAAGTGCAAAATAAAAATTTATGTCAGTCTCAATTGAATATTGCAGAGCACGGAATAGTGCCTCTACCTCCTCAAAGGGGCAAATGGGCAGCCATGTACACCCTGAAGGCTATTTTCTGACAGGGTTTTGAGTACTCTGCTACTCTACCTAAAAGCCATCAACCTGCCCACAGACCAAAAAAATCACTCATCTTCCATCTTGCAATATCCGTTTTAGGGAGGTGATGGGAGTACCAGCAGGCATACATTTCAAACACAGGTTTGGATTAAAATACAGTAGCATACTTTAAAATGAAGACATTTGGTATTTTAATATTTCGTGTTTGTGATGAGAGATCAATTTGTGAATTTAATTCTGTTGTGGCAAATATCTACAGAGGACTTGCTTTAAAAATGTTGTTTACTTAGCAAGAAATGCAAATACTTTCTTTATAAAAAGTGGTTGGTTTTTTTTGTGTTTTGTTTTGTTTTGTTTTTTAAATAGACAGATACTTACAAGATCAAAATACTTCCGAGATTCAATTTACAAATATGTGTAGTAAAGCATCCTTTTTTTTTTCTAACTCTTTCTTGCAATGTTGTTGTCATTTCATGACGTTACAAATGGCTAGTCTACTAACTACTCTGGGGGAAAATGTATTTTTGCAGAAATTACATTGCACAGCAATCCTGTGAGCTTATATTTATTGGATAATTAACATATAGTTCCAGTTGATATAAATCATTGTGTCTGATATATAAGTATTAGATTAATTCAGTTGTCAACAAAATATGTGGAAGGATACTCACTGAATGATATACTGCAGGTTGTGTTAAATGTATGATTACAAAATTGAAAGTATTGCAAAAAGCATACGAAGCATTTTTATTGGGCATTTGGTTTTCAAATGACCTTGTAAAACTAATTGTTTGTGGAAGAAGAGTGTTGTTCTGTCTTTGAAAACCTGCTTAATATTCTATTGTTATTTTATCTCTTTAAAGACAAAGTCAAAGGGAATTTGAAAGATTTTATATATTTCTTCCACCTTAGTCTCTTACTGAGGATAATATTTTAAAGCTGGGTTTTTGCAGGTAGTCTTTTAAATACTGTCACTGAAAATATACAGTGAAATGGAAACAAAGCCTTATTGCAGAGTTGCAAAAATCTCCTGCATTTAATAGCATTTGAATATTGAACGTCTTTTATATAATGTAATTCAGATTAAGTCTGGTTTACAAACATAAACCTTAGTGAAACTCATTCGAAGCACATGGGTGCATGTATTACCTTTTTTTTAAGCCAAGAGAAATTACATTTCATAACATAAATTATTACAAAATGTAAAATGGGAGGGGAAGTCATCTGAAACTCAGTTTTAAGGCTAGAAGGGACTGCTACAAGCATATAACCTAACCTCTGCACGTGCATGGCCTAGACATTCAGTAATTCCCATATAAAGTCCATAATTCCTGGCTGAGCATGGATTCTAGGAAGACATCCCAAGCTTGATTTTTAAAAACCATGCCCCCAGGTACATTGCCACAGTGGTTAGTCCTTCTCAGTATGAAATCTTCTCCACACTGTGGCTTTGCTTTCGTTCGAGCTTCTGCTTCCAGCAGCCAAGCCTTGTTCCTTTGTTTCCTACATTAAAATGCTCCCCACTGTCAGGAGCCATCTTTCTGCTGAGGTGTTTGTATGTAGTGTTGTCAGCTCCACTTCCAAGCTTCAAGCTGAGAGAGCGGCCGCTGGAGCTCCATGACAGAAATTATGTATAGCCTGTTTCCAGATCAGTTTCAAGATGTAAGTTGTCTTCATTGCCCATGGATGTAGGTGTTGTCCCAAGCCCGACAGTTAGAGGGCCAGAGGGCCCTGAGGGACGTGATGGCAGACCCTCTCTAAGCAGCCATGTGCAGTGTATAGGCGAAGCTTTTGTCTAACACAAGCAGGGCCTTGTGGAGGCCCTGTCCTTCAAATTTCTAAATACTATAGAATTGAGTTCCTCTGCTACCAGTCCTAGGGGTGGGGTGATAGCATGTGACTGCAAAGGCTTTCCTCAGACAGGCAAACCTCCAAGTCCCATTTTGCTGCTCGGGTTTGGGGTGGGTGGGCTGGCTCTGGCTGAGGAGCCGAGGCAGGGGCCAGGCAGAGCTGCAGGAGGGGGAGCCGACATGGCGGCAGGGCCAGGGCGCCAGGGAGAGGGCTGGAAGCTGGGTCCTGTAGGGCTCCTCCGCCTCAGCAAATCCCAACAATGGCGGAAAGAAGATGCCTGTGATGCCAGGCCATGCATGTGCCTGGAAAACGTCATCGATGTGGCCGAAGAATCCATGTTAAGCCGAGCTTTGATGTCTTTGAAAACCAAGGCCCGTTTCCCCGCTTACAGGCACCTGTGGCAGAGGAAAGCTGCCCTTTTCAGAGAAAATGAACTCATCACAAAAGCAGTTGATGGCGAGGTACAAATAATCTTCTTTTTTTTTTTTTGCACATTACTAATACAATGAAAGCATAAATCTCAGACGAGTTTGTCTGAGGATAGCATATATGTATATATATACTTGGGCTTTTGAAAGGGCCATTTTCACAAAGCTGATAATGCTAATTAAGCTCTGAGGAAAAAATATTTTCATCATGCATTCATATTGTTTTAAAGTTTAAAATCCAAGTGTATTTTACCAAATGCTCAAGTACACTTATCCATCCACGGTCTGGTGCAGGGGGAGAGAAGCAAAGTTAACAGGTAAATTAAAGTTTCCACATGCATATAAACAGGTCCATTTATATTTTTTTATTAATATATATGTGTGTGTGTAGAATCACAGTCATGCAATATTTATGTTGCAAGTCCTCTCCAGAAGTCACCTAGTCCATTGTGTGTGTATGTTTATGATGTGTATGTGTATATATATGTATGTGTTATGAAATGAAAAATGAGGCTGTTGATACAAATTCAAAGTTAAGAAGAGTAGTGTGTTGCAAGGGGAAGCAAGAGGACACAAATGAGAAGAAATTCTGACCAGCAGAGGTAAGAATAACACAATGTTTTTCAAGGTACAATGGAATGAAAAAAAAACTTTTAACAAAGATATTTTTTCATTACTGCATAGGAAGGGTAGAAAATCATCAATAGTTGTAAAGAAAAGTGCTCAATTCAGGGAAACATTAAAAAATATTTTCTTCTGAATTAAAAAAGTGCCAAATGATACATGTATATCAAGAAACAATGAGAAGGAGAATGAAATATTTTCCCTTTCAGCAGTATTTGGGGGGAATTTTAAACTGTACCTGTTGATAATGTTTAGATAGGGAACCAAGGAGTTGTCAGTCACTATTGATGGCCTGTAGTAAGTGAAAATGTGAGCATTTCACCACTATTTAAAAGTACTGGATGGGATCCTCCCCTAGGAAATGCTTGTTAATCACAGCCAGCCAGTTTTCCGAGCAGCGCACTGGTGCTGGAGCACTGGTTGACTGGGAACACGGCTGTGGCCAGTGCTACCCAGGAGAGCAGCTTGGCAGGTTGCGTGTCTTCGCGCCTTTTGAACTAGGAGACAATGCGTGAGGTAAACAGCTCAATAATCACTTAAGCAGCATTTTTACTTTGCAGATTTTGGGTTTATTACTCATCCCTGATCTCTCAGTAGACCTCCAACAGGGTTTCCCTTTTAGGGGGAAGTGAGGACTGTCGGTTCCTGTTAGCTAAAGGTTTCAAACTTATTTTGGTGATGTCTAAATCCTTTTCTGTAGCAGTTTTACCATGACAAAGCTCCTTGTTCTATAGATGTGAACAACGTTCTTTCTTTCTCTTTTTCTTGCCATTGCCGTGACTTGTTATTGTGGTATTAAAAGCCCTCTGGGAGTTCAAGCAAGCCTGAGCTACCAGGCAAAACAGATCGCTCTGCAGGTCAGCCTGTCTCCATCATCATTCATCCTTTCATCTGTTGTATGGCCTATGAACTTTATTTGGGTAAAGACTATATTTTCTTTCAGACCATTGAGAAAAGTGTTGAATGGTGTCAGGCTGAGAATAGGTATCTGAGCATCTCATTGAAAATGCCCTATCAGAAATCACAATTCCTGTTTTACATTTACTGTTGATTTGTAAGTCGGTAAGTGTCACCGATACCTGCATATGGTTGTTTTTTTTTTTTCCAGTAATTGTAAATGAAGTGCTTTGCAGAAGTCTATTTACCAACAGAGTTACCCTTCACAAAGAAACAGTAATCTCGCCAGAGAACAGTATCAAGTTTTCCATCTTTCATAAGCAGTTGATTCACAATAATAGAAATAAATAAAGAAACAAAGATAGCAGCATTCTAATTTCATTGCCCATCTGCTATTGTGTGGTGTTACCCAGGATCAACATCAGCCTAACTTGAATTGTTATGGGCGTATGATGTGGTACATTTGTATAAGGAGCTGCATCTATTATGCAGTGTCTCCTGATTAGCTTGTCCTGTCCGTAATTTTCATTCTGCCAGAGAGAAACAAAATTACTCTTCAAAGCTTTCCTGGCCTCAGCAAATTGAGCCAATACGCCATGCTGAGGGAGGACCTGATCAGAGGCCACTGTGAATTTTCACAGAATTAGGATAGTTTTTTATGGAACAACAGCAACAACACTTGCTCAACCAGCTGGAAAGCAAATGGGTCCAGTTTTGCACATCACTCATGTGCCAGTCAGCAACTCTATCGAAGCAGCTAGTACGTGATGCACAATGCTCAAGGGGGGAGGTGTGGAAACCAAAGCCTTGCCATCAAGTTGATTCCAGCAGATGAAAATCTGTATTTCCTGCAGAATTCCTCTAGCATGATCAGGAAAGTGACAATGTAGATATGGTCAATTTAAATGAGAAGGAAGGGGTGATAGGAAGTGTAGAGAGGAAGTGCACACATTAAGACACAGCATGAAGTAACATAACTAACCAGATATGTCTAGAAAATATGGACACCTCCCCAGGAAGCAAGGAGAGCAACAGAAAAAAAAACATCTAGACTTTCCCTGCATCTGAAGTAAATAAATCTGCCAGCAAGGTAAATTTTATGAAAAATGGTTTTCAGTTTCTTCCAACAACTATCAACCACCTATCTGAATTTCTTCATGACCTAGTAGCTGGGTAGTATATGGACTTCACATCTTAACTTTCACATTTATGTTTGAATAAGCTTGCATTTCTAGCTAGTCAGCAACGACCACCTTGTCAAGACTTCCAAAAACCAGCCCTTAGCAAAGGCTGGAAAATTAAGTATGTGGTCCCCAAAACCAAAAACTAAACTAGCCAGAGGCAGCCTCACCAAGTCCCTTTGCAATAAGCACAACACAGGTGCTTTCCTCGGATTTAGACCATCCTCGGTTGCTTCTTCTGTCCCTTAAAAATGAAAACTATAGCTTTGTGATACTGACAAGGTTTACGATAATCAGATTTTGAAAGTTTCAGCTCTTAGAAGTCAGTAGTGAGACAAGATGGTTACTAATGGCCAAGAGAAACTTTGGGAACATAGTAATCCAAAAGCAAATGTGGAGACCTTTAATTTATAGCTCTAAACAACATTTTCTTAGTTGGACTGTAATATGGAGAGCCTGACTCAATGCTTTTATAAGCATAGTACTGGCAATAATAGGTAATGCTGCTATTTTTCTTTGCCATCATCTTTCTTGATGAAATGTACTTTTCTCACTAGCCTCATAATAGCAGGAAATATGCACTCTTATTTCTGGAAACTGGGGAATGTCTGGAATTAGGGAAATGGATTTTCCAATCAACTCTCATCCTGGTAGATATCAGTGCCATTAAATATCTTCAGGGCTGGAATATCATATGAACTGTTACATTTGACATGGGAAGGGAGAAGAGTTGCTTACACCTGCTGGTTGGGAGAATTTTTTACTGCAAATAACTGCAAAGACAGCAAGTCAGTTTAATTAGAACTCTCTCTCTTTTTTTTTTTTTTTTAATAGCTACTTTCCTGCCTAAGTCCTTTATCACTAGTTTTTGTTTTCTAGGCCACATCTGAGTTGAGCATAGTGTGACGAGGGTCTTTGTGCTCCTGTCTACAAACGTAAAGAACCAGCGTGTTGTCCCTTTAAGCGAAAACTGGCTTTTGCTTCTCTAGCTTTCTTCCTTTAGCTTTGATGGTAAATAAATGAACTCCTTGGGGTCTTTTTAGAGCTATCTGAGACTTGTGATGCCAGAAAGTGGCTCTGAAAGGAATAAGGCTGTGAAATGAGTGTTCTCCGTTATACAACTGTCGTCTTCTAAGTGGTAATTATGACTCTCCTAAAAAAATAAAAAACACAAAAGCCAGCTGAAATGATGAACCAGATCAGATCTTCCCTCTGTTACACATAACAAAAATGTGACTATTAGCCTCATTTGAGCCCCACCCTCCCCAGCCTTCTCTATCAATTTACCTTAGTAGACCATACAGCACGGAGAAATTAGTCTTAAGTGAATATTTAGATATTATACAAGAATAAACCTGTCAGGAAAATAAATTCATTATAAATGCCTCCCCTGTATACAAGTTATAATTTAGGGGTTTGTGTGTCAGTGGAATAACAATAAAAGGAAGACACTGTGCTCGAATTAGCATTTTAATTTCTGCTTTAAAAATTCAACACCATTGTTCAAAAGGTTTTGTTCTCTCCTTCGTTGCAACTATTCACCCTGGCTTTTAAAAAAAAAAAGTTTAGTTGTGTGAGACAGGAGGTTGCTTCCTTCAAAGCGAACAGCTACTTTGAGGGGACTTCTAGCAAAGATGTTTAAAACTATCCATTCAATAAGCAGACTATTCTGGGAAATTTTTGATGGCAGGAAAAACTGTGAGAGCTGCCTGGGCACCTGAGAAGATGAGAAGAGTCATCTGTGAGTCAGAGGAGGGGAAAACCTGCCGGAATTGGTTCAGTTCCCAGCACTGCTGCTACCTCGCCACGTAGCTCCCTCTGGCTTGATCAAAACTAGAATAATCCATCAAGATTTCTTATCAATACTTCTTAGCCAGCATTACTGCTGCAATTACTATTGTAGACAATTCAGAGGGGCATGTTCCAGCTCACAGATGGCTCTTCCTGGTCATCATGAGCCGAGTCAAAGACATGAAAGACATTATGGGTTGCAGCAAGCCTGAAAATCCTAGTCTGCGCAGGCCATCTGCTATTAATTTTACTTATCTATAAATAGGCTTAATAATGCCACTGACATCTTGAGAAGGAAACGTATACTTTTAAGGGAATGAAGTTTTCAAATAGGAGGCAGAGCACTTCTTCCCATGTAGGGATTCGTTAGGAAATGGTTAGTGCTTGCAGTGGTAGGTTTCTGTAGATGTGGCAGTTCTTCCAGTGTAGGCAAGCCGATCGCCTTGAAGTTAGGAAAGATGAATCCAACTCATGAAAATGTATGAGAGGGCTTCACAACCATGAAGTCCCAGATCAGCATCTTCCCTTTTGGCCAGAGCAATGTGTGCCAGGGAGGCTCAGGGTGCTAACGTGTTATTTATTTTCACTTAGTCATTATTTGCAGAACTGAGCATCTGTGTGCTAGTTCTTGGGAAGGTGATGGATGTGGCTCAAAAAATGGAGCAACTACGAGAAAAAGGCCAGAGGGGATTGCAAGAGAAATTCAGCGTTCAGTTAAGCAATTAACTTTAGCTAAACAAGAAGAGAAAAGAGCATTTATAAAACCATTCTGTGAATTTGTAATCTGAAATTCGTGGGTTTTAGCAGCCAGTGTTTAAAGACAAAGCTTTGAAGGTTAAATCTCAATGTTAAAACCACACTAAAATTCAGAACCTGTGTGAATAAAAAGGCAGATTTTAATGTGTTTTCCATATCTTCCTGAAGCTCCCCCTATCAGGCTTCCTTCTAGCCTCATAGATGGTTTAACCGTAGCTTGATCTAGTTACTAGTGTTTGAAATCTCTCGTGCGTGCCAGCTGAGCTTCATAGTGTCCTCCTGATCACCCTGCTGTGCACCCCACCTGTGCTGACCCTCAGGCAGAGGACCACCTTGTACCCAAATCAATTACTAGCAACTAGGAGGTGGTGTGCAGAATCCGAATCTTACCATGGTAGTTTTATCAGTCCATCTTCTTTGTAGGAAAAGGGTGCCAAGTGTGTAGATACTAAATTTCAGGACAAGTGATACGCTTTTTATTGAATGCAATAGACATGTGGTAAAACCAGAAAGAGCACAACAATAAAGCCTGAAAATTATGATAGTTTAAAATCAAGTTACCCTTGTTAACACTAACACTTAAGGGCATTTGAAGTGCTGTAATACTTTTATCTGTTAAGGTGGACTGTACCTATTTTCTCAGCTGTAAACTTGGTTAAATGTTTGGGTTTGTTGTTTTTTAAATGCAGCTTGATATTAAATCACTGAAAAAAATTAAGGATGTAAAAAGAAATCATAAAAAACCTCAAACTGTGACACATTTTAATGCTTGTGCTATTAAGGATCCTGCCCTTTTGACACAGGGTCATGAAATACTGAGCAAATGACACATTTACACCACCTTCTGGAAGGGGGAGGCAGTCTCTTTCTGACCTCCCACCAACCCAGTTCCCTCTTTCTGACCACCACCACCACCTTTATTTCGAGACCCTTCATCCCCTTCCCACCCGCCTGTCCCCACCCGGCCTTTCTGTGACCTCCCGTCTGTCAAAATCCCTGACACCTCCCTCCCAGCTCCATCCTTTCCCTCACTGCTCCCAGCTCCGTTAATTTGCTTCTCTCATTTCTACCGTCACTGTCTTTAACATGGGGCTACAATTTTCCTCTCTTAGCACTGAGTGTTCAGAGCATCCAGCCCTGGCTCGTGCCTGGCATACATGTCAGCCACGTGCCTCGGCAGGAGAAATCTCAGCACTACCCAGGGACCCATTGCTGAAAATATTTTCTTGCTTTTTCTGCTTTCTTCTGTCACAGCTTGTCTTCTGCGTGCTCGGGTCACATGTCTGCATGCCTTGCTACAAAGCAGGCACCAGTTCCTTCTGTCCTCAAAAAAACCCCTTGCCTTTCCTGCAAATAGTCCTTTTGGTCTCTGATACCCTGATGGCTGCCACAACTTTTCCCTCTTACTTTCTTCAAATACATCATTTTTCTGCATCTTTCTTTGTGACTTTCTCTCACTGAAGTTTCTAATGATCTGGACTAAAAAACTGATCTAAGCTGTGGACCTGCAATCACTTACTTCACTGTGGGAGCTTAGACTTACTGTAACACATGCCTTTGCTTAAAAAAATGGTATTTTCAGAGTATGGCCTTTTTTTTTTTTCTTTCCTCCCCAAATCTTTGTCTTCTTCTATTCGTCATGCAGTATCATTTGGTAAATGGTCCATCTATTGCCCTGCCTCCAGCCAACTGCATGTGGGCTTTACATTAGGCTTTAATGGACTTGGGATCAGGCACTGGGTCGCACAGTGTGCTTCCTCTCTGCTCGATTTCCCTTCTTTCTCACCAAGTGTCCTTCCTTTTTCTTGAATTTTCCTTCCCGTCTAGTGTCTTTTCTCTGCTGTTCTCCAGTGCTTTCTGCTGATGCTCTTTCTGGAAAAGACAGCAGCAGACAGGACATGTCTATAGGTAAGCTGTAAAGGTTTGTGCATGGGCTTCTTGTAGCGTTCCCTGGGAACTTTCATGGACAGCCCTTTCATATCCATATATCTGGGTCGATGCAGGCTTGGTATAGGTGTGAGCCTCTCTTTGTTATTGCTGTTTCTTAAGCACAAAAGCTTCTCCGAACCTAATATCAGGAAGCACAATGAAGGTCCCTTTCGCTCTTCTGCTAGCGTTCTATTTGCAACTCTGCACCGTTACCACCACCTCTGTGGCCTGCACATTTAGGGTCTGTTTAAATCCTGATAGTTACTCCTGGAAAACAGTTACCCTGTCCGGCCTTTGTCCCTATTGCAATGGGAAAAAAAAAAAAAAAAAGATGTATGTGTTGCCTCCTGTTTTGTTTATTGTAATCTCTGCTCCACCTCTACCTCCTACTTCAAGCCCCGTGAAAGGCAGCCGTCAAAATCCCCTTTCTTGCTTGTCATGATGACCTTATTGCCTCCCTCTCTGAACCTTTGTGCTGACACCTTTGACTGCCTCTAGTTTAAATTTCTTGTTCTTTTGTTTTCAGGCCTCCCATAACTCTTACCCTAGCCAAATGGGTTCCCTTTCATTTTATCCTGCTCCTGTCTCTTTCTGCTCGGACACTGCTGCCACTCTCACTGTTCTTTCTCCTCCTCACCCAGCCCTCACCTCGAGACCAAGGCTGCAAGTGCCTCGACTTGTTGTTAATTTTATCCATTCATAAGAAGCCTTGCTGCTTTTTTTTCACAGACAAAGGAAGAAAAACTTCTTTTTTTCTGCTCCATGCTTCCTGCCATGCCCTGCCTAGAGGCTCCTTATGGGCTTGCCCTGGTCATCTTGTCTGTTGCTCAACTGCCACTGGCAGCTCCTCTTGGTCAAGGAGCGCTGGGAGCCTTGGGGAGGGAAGTCTCTTTTCCTCTGCACTTTGAGATCTCTAAGAGGCACTCAGGCAATGTGAAAGGAGTTTTAATAATTAATAACGGCAATTCAGGCATACAGATGTCAGGGGTTATTCTGGCTTCAGAGTATTTAGTTGTCTCTAGGAGGAAGTTGATTTCCCCTCCGTCTGCACTGAGTTCTGGCCCAGGACACCATTGCCATGTCTGAGTGGTATTTCCCGAATCGAAGCCTTTTACTTCAGTGAGGAGTGGCTTCCCGTATGCTTTGAAGTAAACTAATTGTGTTGTATGTTTCATAGTTCGTTCTATTTGCATTTATGAAACTGAGTTCAGTGATGGATGATCATTATATTGAGCTGAAATAAATCAATATTTTTATATTCTTCTGTTTTATTATGCTTTTTGGCTACATTATCTTTCCCTGTCTGGGCAGAAGTTGGTGTCTTAGCACCCTCAAGTAATTTCTAATATATTTGTTCTTTTTGAATGAATGAAAATCAGAGAGAAAGCTTCTGATTTTCCTGAAGCTTCCCTATTGTCCCTCTTCACTGAGGGTCTGCAGTAGTCACCTGCAATTTCAGTGTTTTACTGGTAACTACTCGTATCTTTTTGCTGCCTGAGAGGCATCATGTAAGGTTATATTGAGCTGGATTTTCTGCTTTGTGTCTGCAAATTCCGCAGGGTGTGCCTTGCAGAGGAGAAAGCTTGGCAGAGCTGCTGCGAGGTGGACAGTCAGTGCCCGTTCATTGGCAAAGCTGGCACAGCCAGAGAATCGGCTGCGGCCATACGCAAGCAGTGCGGGCAGCATGTCTGTCCACTGGATGGAAAAATCCCCTGCGTGTTTTAGTCTCTCGTAGCATCTGCCTACCAACCAACCAGACACAAAACCTGGTCAAATCTTGGCGTTCAGATGTGGCTTCAGACTTGCAGTCCAGGGGAGAGCATCGTCTGAGTTCACTGGAGCAGCTGAATCTTCAAAACTGTTAATGTTTTGCATTTCTAATAATACATTATGAAGTTCATACTCCTTTGGTTTAGTTTTTATCTGTATTGAAAGGTCTGATTTAAAGGACTTCAACAATAGGTTTCACCAGATTGTTGAAAACTGATTGAATTTTACAGTGGTAATGGAGTTTGAGACAAGATGACATTCAGTATTACCTATTCATGAGGTAGTGTTTCTCTTGATTTATATATATTTTTTTATTGGTAGTTTTAAACATTAAACATGGATGCTGTCCAGTTTTGTACAGCTAAAAAAAGCTGCTCATCCACAAAGAGTTCCCTGATGAAATTATCGTTCAGTCACTGGCATAGGTGAGAGTTTTACTTATGTTTTCTACATACTTTTTTTTCATTTATTGGAAATAATGTTTACAAGAACCTACTGATTTCCTAACTGCCTGTGCCTCTTGGACAAATATTTTTCTATCAGTGACTTGGGCTTTTTAAGATAGCAATCATGTGCTCAGCCACTTAATGGTAATCTTTTGTATTGTTTCCCTCCTTATTTATTAACAGTCATAATTTCTCACTGGTATTTCTTCCCCCTTCACAGCCGCAATATATTTATAAGAGCCCTTTTGTTCTCTGTAATCACTTTAGCTAGCATTAAATCATCCTTCTTTTCTGCTGCCCTTATCTTTTCTCTGCAAGGCTTAACTGACTGTAGGTTTTTTTCATTTTTCCCTTCTTCTTCACTTCCCTTTGCACTCAGATCCGTGAGCAGTTCCTACAGAAACTGTATTAGTTACCTTCCATCGCTCCTTTCCGAAACTGTTGTTTTCTGCTCCCTAACTGAGGTTTGCATTCAGAATTTTCCAGCCTTCTTCCCTGCTCCTGGATTTGAGTGCTCCTTGCCTCATAGTGACTTATAATAACACTTAGTGTTTGAAAACTGAGTTTCATCTGCAAAGGCCTTTGTAAAAATTAATTGATGAATAGTAAAGCATTCCCCAAAGGCATTCTCTTATCAAATCTTGAGCACTCTGTAAGCCTGTTTCCTCCTCTGAAATGGTGAAGTAGCTTTCTTTTATCAGGCAGGTGTGTCCTTAGTCCTCACAGAAGAGCTAGGTCTAACCTGAGTTCAGGGTGAGCAGTTGAACAAAAATTTAAGAGAGGCTCGGTCCCTTTCAGGAGAGAGTGTCCCTTAAAAGCTCAGTTTCAAAGTTGCTTCTGGAGCCAGAAATAAGTGCAAATAACAAAATGAAATGGAGATAAATGTTCAAATAATTTACCTGCTTCTGTAGTTTTTGATTGAGCTTTGAAGTAAATGTCTTATGCATTGATTATTTGCTTTTTAATGATCTTATCAAGAATGCCTTTTAGAGACGAAGAAACGCTTTTGAATGAGGATATGAATGGGCACAAATAGATCCTCTCCAGTATGAATACCTGCCATTCAGGCAGGCTGAATTGCTTTTCAGAATTGTGCGGTTTCTCTGATCAGTTGCTACAGTTGGGAGCAGCCAAGAATACCAATAAAAAGCCAGACTTTCTGGGAGCAAATCAGCAGTACTCTGCCTGTGGTTAACTTCCCAACCCTCCCTGCCCTTCAGAGGCACGGAGCAGCAGAAGGGTCTTCTCCTGTGCCTTCTTTCTGTGCTGGTTTTATTTTGGAGATTCTGAAGAGAAAGCCTTAAAATACAACAAAAATTGCTGACAGCTTTGGAGAAGTGAAGGTAATATCACTCGCTGCAGAGATTTGGGGTTTTGTTTTGCTTCCTCTCAACAGCATAGATTTTGGCTGGGAAATTATTATTAACTGAATGAAAAACATTCCACCAACAGGCCACCATTCTGAAGAAAGCTTCCATCTCCCCAGAGAGGAAAGGCAGCTGAGGCAGCCTTCTAAAGGCTGGAGGGGTTTCATCCAACCCTCGGGGAGAGGGAGAGAGGGAGAGACTCCCAGCCAAGGATGTCCCTCTGATAGTTGGCATCTGAACTAAGAAATGGGATTCTGGTCCAAAGTTTTCCCTGCTTGCAATCAACCACACTTGATTTACATGATGGGATGGTTTTGGTGAACATGCACTGGATTCATTTCAGAGAAAACTGAACTGAAATCTGCAGTTAAGGGTTGCATCTGCCGTGCTCCAGGTGCTAATGGGCATTCAGTATGTGGGGCCAGCCCAGAGGTAATCTGAAATGGTGCCTCCAAGGAACACATGGTCAGGCATCAAGTCCTCAAGACCAAATGGGTTTTTTTGCAGGTTATCCTTTTGTGCCACTCTGGAAGACTGAAATTTAGGACAGTCTTATCTAATAAAAAGGAACTATGTACTAGCCATGATTTCTAGAGTTCTGAACCTGTAAAAGAGTATATTGCTTCCAGTGTGCTTCACCATCTGTCTTTGCCGTGTCTTGTATTTGTGTTTTTTGGAACAACAGGTTTAATATGAGGAAAGTTGCAGACAGGTTTGACAGCCCAGACTCGGAAGTAGTGCCATATGTAGATATGACAATATCATTTAGTGCTATCAGGCCGATCTGTAGGCTGCAGTTTTGTGATATTGTCACATTTTGGTTGAGGGCAGCAGGTACTTTCTGTGCAATTTCTGGCCTGGAACGGGTAGTTGAGCTCCTGGCAGGAGAGACAGGGCATTTTCTGTAGTAAGTGCTCTTTGAGACATGGGATGACTATCACATTTTCTGTGTGAGATAACAAGTTCATTTTTCAGCATGAAATATTTCCAACCGTTACTGGGACTGATTGTTTTTCACCGGCTCTCACTGTCAGTATGAGGGCTCTAACATATTTCAGAACCTCTTGAGTGGTTCTCCACGATCCATTGCTGAAGCCTGCCTACCGTTAGATATTGAAAATTATGACAAGTACCTCGCACACAGGGTGCTTATTTTTGTAGCAGTTGTAACAACATCCCTGCTTGCTACTTAGCAGCAAATTTAGATATCTTAGTATTACACCAGACACCTGCTATTTTAACGTAACGTGGTGCCAGCTCAGGATGCCTGCCTTGCACTTAACGTACTGCACCCTTTTGGTAGGAATCCCATGCTTTGATTTCAGCCCCATGCAGATATCCCAGATAGCCTATAGCATCTAAAATGGTGCTAGAAGCCAGTGGCTTGGCAGCTAAACCTTTAGTGCAGCACGCTGTCGTGGGAGGTGATGACGAAAAGCACCTCCAGAATCTCTGAGCTGCACCAGGGAAAGAGAGGTGTTGCAGGGTAACACAGGGATTTCCAACATGGGCATCAAGGTGACTGCATTACAGAGAGAAAGTGTGATTATTTTCCCTTCAGATTCTGTTCTGTATTAGATGAAACATTTGGCAAAGGTGTTGCATGAATCACCAGGGAGATATTGTTTATCCTTGAATTGCCCAGACATGACATACTTCTTTCTAGCTCTGGTCATTCATTGCAAGTGGATCATGCACAGCATGATATCCCCTGTATGTACTGGTGGTCTATACAGCATATCAAGACTTTAGGTGAAATTAACTTTATGGCATCATAATAAGTGACAGTGTTTCTTTGCTAAAAGAGCAGATGGTGCTTTCTCAAAGGAAACAGAGCAGTAACTTCACCCGCTAGCGGAGACCGGCTGCCTTTGCCTCTCTGTCTCGTAGCCCTGTTCAGATTGACGGGGAGGTCAGAGCTTAGTCTGGAAATTAAAAAGTTTTCTTGCTGGGACTGTGAGAGAGGGAAGCAATGTTAAAGATGGCAGGAGATGGAGCATGTGTCTAAGCACGCTGTTGGCATGCCCCAGTTTAGCTATTTCACGACAGCATCCTTGTGTGCTTTGCAGGGTCATTGATGGGAGGTCTGTCAGGGATTGTAGAGTCTGCCTGGGCAAAAATGACTCCGCTGGTTCAAGTAGGCGTAGTGAAGATTTTGAATTCGTGTGCTCTTCCCCAGTAGGTGCAAATCAAACCCCTTGTGTTTCAATCACAATGCAAGTCTTTAAAAGGAACGTTTTGCAGAAAGTGCTGATTTTGATCATCTCTGCTGCTTTATGTGTCTTTTATAGATTGATTTTGAAAGTGAAAAAAAGCTACCTTAGTTTTAGTGGAATACCACTGGGTTTTGATTATGTTTGCTAGAAATCAGGTGGGGGTCTAGATTTGCACTAGAAAATTCCACAGGTTTACTTGCAATTAAATGCACATGTAAGGTAATGTGAATTTTGCAAAGCAAGTTCCCTGACACTGTGTAAAAAGAGAGAGAGGGGGAGAGAAATGAAGACTTCTCTAATAAAGACTTCTCTATCTCACTTATTTTGATGGTGTTTTTCAAACTTGTCTATCTTTCTCAGACCCAAAGCGTGCATAATTAACATCCCTGTATTTCTTCACAGCCAAAAAATTAGTCATATTTCAGGGAACAGAATGCCTTAATGCAAACAATTCACATTCAGCATCAGAAGTAACATTTTAAGTACCAGCCTACTGCCTCAAGGTACTTTTTTCTTTCTCTGCATTTCTCTCCATGTGTACCTGTCAAAGCCAGCTCTGCCCTTTACAAAGTCATTTTATTGTGACTTTCAGTTCATCAGCTACTGGGAATATGCAGGCTGGCTAATATTCCTTTTGCTTTACAAGTAGAAGAGAGTATATCAACTACTAAGGGCACAGTATCAGAGAGTAAGGAGGCAAATGAAAAAGTAATAAGAAAAGAGTCTAGCCCTTACAGAAAATCTCATGCAAATGTGATAGAGAAAGAAAGGAGAGGAGGAGGAAATAAACCAAAATGGACCTTTAAAGAAAGGAATTATGCAGATGGGTATCTTGATTTTCACAAGTGTTATTAATTTTTTAATTAAGTTGGATCTTGTAAAATATGCAAGATTTACAGTTCTCTTATGAACAGCATGAACAATTGACAATTCTTTCCCCACTTTATCCTCTCAATAGAGCTCAGCAATAATGTATTTTCTCAATTTAAAAGCTTTCATATGTCTTATCTCAAGGATCAACTGTGGTCAGCTGGAAAAAAAAATCAAAGAAAGCTTAAAGTAAGAATGAAGTGGCATGCATTTACTTAAATTTTCTTGAGCATGTAGCTTACGAATAGTATTTCTAATAGTTATGATAATACATTCCCAAAAGAAAACATTTCACTGCTACAGTGCTATTAGTAATATCATCTGGCACCATATCGAGATATCTAAAGACCACTGGTAATTTCACCAGGAATGTGAAATGTGCTATTGAACTGTGAAAAGGAAGAAAACAAGTGAAAACAATCTCAAAGTTAAAAGCAACTTCTCATAAAGCTTGTTTTAACAGAAAGAAAGATAAACTATTGTGAAGTATATTTACATCATTACGGGTACCCTTACTAACATAAACAGTGAAGACTTATTTCTGCCATTAACTCAGTCTTACCCCAGTTCAGAAAATCACCAGAGGTTGAATGTAACTCTTAAACACATTAGTATTTTGCATTAAAGTCCATAAACACATTTATCTGTATGTGCTGAGCCTGAAACAGCCTGAGGGTTGTGAGATTCTTGACTTACCAGAAGCAGAAATTGCCCTTAATCTAGACAAGGGAATTTGAAAACTCTGAAAAAAATACTAAAAAAAGAGAAAAGGAAAAGAAAAAAAAGTGTTTATACCTTCCAGGAAAGTAATCATATGGCTTTTTATTGTTATTTCCAGCTGTAAGCAGGTGTTCTTTGAAGGTGACCCAAGCAGACTGCAACTCACGAGCTGCTGTTCCCAGCTTTGACCAGCAGCTGAATGAGCCCTTAATGTCTCAGGTTTGGGGTCTTTCACAGCCTGTCACCCACAGTTTCTCCCCAGCTGTCAAGGACATTTTGCAGGATGAAGAAGAGTCACGTAACAGCTCTCATCCTTTTCTGTGGAGATCAGGGGACTTGCATATGGTAGCCATGCAGGGAGGGTGCCTGCCCTCTTTCTTTCCCATCCAGCACCTGTGAGTAGGATTGACTGAAGCAGCTTAGGCTACATGGTCTTCTCAATCACAGTGTTTTGCTGCAAGAGCAGATCAGAAGTACCATGTATCAACCATGCCTGGAAACACCAGGGAGCTCAGAGCAGGCCTGGGACATGTTGTTGGCCACAATCACAAGGCCAACTGGTGCACCAAAGCCAGGGAAGTGCCCCTGCAGACATAAAGGCAACCACCAAACATGATTGTTTCCTAGTTTCTTATTCATCGGGTGTGAATTGGATGAGTAGTACCAAATGCACCACAAAATACAAGATTTGAAAAGCAATGACAATATTCCCCTTATTCAATGCCATAAAGATTCGGCTGTGGTTTGCTTCAGCCCTTGAAGCAGGTGAATGCTGGGTGAGCAGGTGGGTCCATCATGGCAAGAAGGAGACTGAGTGGTTTGGTTGGTTCCCTGTTTTAACATCTGATACACAGACACAATGCAAATGTGTGCTGTTGACAGAAATGGCCAGCTGGCAGAGTATGTGTCTGTGCCTCTGATATTTTAAATTTAGAATGTCTACTGCTCCGTCCTTATTCATGGACGTAATGACGAGTTTTTCAGAGCCCCTGATTGTTTAATGTAATCTGTTTACTACGAAACATCTGATAGCTATTATAGAAAATGTCAGATAATTTATGTTCCATTTTTCCATCCCGAGAAAAAAAAAAACAACCACCATTTTATATCAAGAAACATTTCAATAGCTTATAGACAAATGGACAAAATGCACAAATGTCAGATGCACAGCCCTCAGCAATGGGGACATGAGCTGAATAAAACTCTAGTTGCATTTGCTAATGCCTGATAATTGACATGATAATAGAAGATTACAGATACGGGTATTGTTTGTATTCTAACCCTATTTTCTGTGATTTTCACACTGCAAAGACTGTTCCAAAAATGATATCCTTTTGGTACTGAGATTAGTTTTATAAATAAATTGGGATTTGGGAATGACACTTCAAATTAGCACTAAGGTAATATTCTGGAGGAGCTGGATAAAATGGATATTGGAAAACCTATTGCATTTTCAATCCGATTATAGTAATTTACCTGAGATAAGAAAGGAGCATCTCTTTCACTTTTCTATAATTATTAAAGGGTAAATTTGATATTGTAAAATACAGAGATTTGTTTTCTGCTCTTATGATTATGGCAGAAATGTTTACTTGCTTTTAAAACAGAATAGTAAGCTCTAAGAATGTTTTTCTAATTATGAGACACAATATATAATATTATAATTCTCGAATGATGGGATTTTGTATGAAAAGACATTACTCTCTCTGAGTCTTTTTATTTACAAGTAAACATGAGCATTCCTGATGAATTTCACTGGTGTTTTATAGACACGTAGTTGTTTCAATTTAACCCTTCCATTTGTATTTTCAGAGGAACAGAGCACTAAAACCAAGCCAAAATATTAGTGTTTTGTATATTTGTGAAAGAAAAGAAATTGTTATTCAAAGGCAGTTCTTTCAGATGAGTCAGTTAAATGTGAATGGAAATGAAAAACTACAATTTAAAAGCATTTTGTGAATTATACTTTTTGAAAAAGGAAAGAGCCTGTGCCTTTGACAAGACAATTTGTAGGGAGACAGATTTTCC